GCATGAGATTTGGAACTAAATGATCTTCAAGGTCCCCTCCAACCCATACCATTCTGTGATTCTGTGATTTTGTGATTGACAGAATGGTTGAGGTTGGAAGGGAGTGATCTCAACTCTTATCAACTGATATACTTAAAACAGTATAAAAGTTGCAACCAGCTCTTGATTAGTCAGCTCGCACATAAAAGAATGAATGACCACATACACCAGCCAGTCTGCACTGTGCTTCAGTCAAGGCATCAGCCAAAAACTGTAGAGAAGCTTCCTTGTGACAGAGCACGAAAAAGTGTCATTGCTTTCCACAGAGGTACTAGGCCTGAAACGTCTCCCTCATGGGAAGTAGCTCAGCTACACCTGAGAAGACAAGCTACAATGATTTTATTCACGTGAGCTTAAACCCTGTGTCGTGCGTTCAGCCAGGACAGGGTTAATGCTCACAAGCAACTGCAGCTGGGCGGGGCTGCAGGCAGGATAAACAACTGACCCAGCCAGTGAGAGATCTGATACCATGTGGCATCATGCCCTCTGTGAGGTTGAGGGGTTTTCGGAGAGGAGGGGTTTTTTAGCACGTGGCTGGAGCATTCTGATTCAGGTAAGAGTTTTATTATCATTTCTGAATATATTATTTCAGTGGTATTATCATTATTACTGTTGTCTCTCCTCTCTTTGTGTTTTCTATTAAACTACCCTTATCTCAACCCATATTGTTTTCATCCTGATTCTCCTCCTCTAACACGGGGCAGAGGAGGGGGGAGCACTGGGCAGTGGCTGCTGGTGTTTAGCTGCCAGCTGAGCTTAAACCAGGACACCACATTTATAAGGCACTAGACTGTACTAAAAACAAGCCTGAGACTATTTATACAACAGCTGATTTAAGTCAGTAGGTAGAGTACACTGATTTTAGTGAAAGCAGGCATGGTACAAGGGTTCTTCCATGGCCACCAAGAGTCCAAAGTTTATTTCCAGTCAGCCATTTACATGATCCTTCCAGTAACTATATTTATTTCAATAATACTTTCTATTGTCTAGCAAAACTTTTCTGACCTCACTTTGAAAACATCTTTTAGCACCAAGCTCCCCTAAAATATTTAGGTACTGTGCTTCTCCTGAAACTCTGTAAAGATCATCTGTAGTGGTTTCTTCACCCAGACCTGTATCTCAAATTTAGGCCAGACATCCAATTTCACATCCTCAAACCCAGCTGCTTACACTTACGTGGTTTTCATAGCTTTTCTTCAGAGATCCTAAGTGATTGAGGAAACGCATTCCTAATCCACACCACTGCTCAGCTTCCTTGTATTTACAAATGGTATACTGAAATATTCCTGTGTTCCAAGCTCTTGTCATCAACCAAAGGATCTCCATCTCTGGGTAAGCATCCTGCAGTAGCAAACAAGAAGCAGTACCTCATCAGAAAGCAGACTCTTCACTTTAAACCTGACAAGTCAAGAGTGCATTAGAGTTTAGTTTCAGAGTGGAAAACCATTTGTTCTTTTGTTTTTTTCCCTCATAAACAAAGGGCAATTCCCTCAGACCCATCCTGTACTTCACAGTTCATCTGCTCTACTGTCAAACAGCTTATTTCCAGTATGGGTAAGTCATGTTGCAATTACCTACTGGTATGTCAGAAAATACAGTTGTGGGGGACTGGAGGGGGTTGCAGAGTGGAAGCATGCTTTCCAACAGCCTATCTGCAGACAGGCTGAACTTGCTTGCTCTGGTACTTTCCAGTTCATCCAAACAGCACTGAATAGCAGGACATAGTTGCTCACTACAGATTAGAAGCAGCAGTTCTCAGGTCTTCAGAATTTCTCTATGAACTGTGGCAATGGCTCATGAGAGTGAGAGATGCCATTGTAACTGCAGAACAGAAGCCAGAGTACCCAAAAATACTTCAAACGGGCTGGGGGACTGATTCAGTTGGGGAATGGAAGGACAAACAATGACTTATTTGCCATGCAAATCTTTAGGGGGAGGATGGAAAGACTTCTTTCTCCTCTTTGATAGATACTTCTCATGCGAAGTAAGAGAGCCCACAGTGAATTTCTGAACTGCAGCATCCATCTCTGAATAGGAGGTATAAATCATGAGTAGTGTACCAGCCTTCTAACTGATAACATACTGATGGGATGTCCCAAAGGCCTTTTCCTAGCATGGAACCAATTAGTACTTGCTTCCACGAACAAGATTGCAAAAGAAGACCTTCTAGTACTGTGAAGTTTTGCTGTTTTAAGTATCAGTCCACATGAACATTTTATTTGTATCCCTCACTAAGAACATTATTCAAATTATAAATGAGAACTTAGGCAAAAGGCAGGCAAGACTGGGGACATTCTTTTTTGGGGAAGTCAGGAACAGCATATCTTTATGTCACTTTTTATAAAAGAAGAGACATTGAAATTGAACTAAAGAAACAGCTAGGCAATGGAACAAAGCTATGAAACATAGTATTGGCTTCATTAGTCCTGAGCAGAAATACTCTAATCTAATTTTTACCTGTAAAATTCTTAGTAAATGTCTGACTTCCTCAATACAGCTGCCTTTACTGTACAGCATTATGCTTCAGGCCTGAGAGGAGCAGCAGAAATGCTTACTGAGAGAAAGATTTTACTCTCCATATACCTGTCCTCACAGAAACAAGGCATGTAGTGCCCCAAGTACTGACAGTACTGGAATCTAGTTCTAGATCTTTTGGAAAAAATAGTAATGTAGTAAGTTCCCAAATATGTTTAATAAAACAGCTGAAAAAAAAAGCAACACTGGTACCCAAATTTTAGTCAGCTTTAAACTGATCTGAAAAAGTAATCTGCCTTTAAAAAAAAAAAACCAAAAACAACATATATATTCAACATAAGAATGTAGAAAGCAGGATAAAAAAAAAAAAACAAACCAACATATTTATTCAGCATAAGAATGTAGAAAGCAGGTGAACGAAAGATGGATGTTCTACCTCAGGATGTTCTAAAACAGGAACTGAAATTTTGGCCTTGAATGGCTCCAAAATAGCCCTTACAAAATCCAGAGAATTTCACAATTCATTCATAAATATCCAAGAGGCACTTATTCTGAGGTAATTTCAGTGTATCTTTTACTGAAGTTTTAGCTGCTCCACATATACCACTATCTAATGTTCAGTCTACTATTCTCAGTCTGATTAGAATTTTTTTTCAAATGTGCTCAGGATCATCTCCCAGTCTCATTTTCTGTTCAACTTACTGTGCTGCTGATTACACTCAGGGCATCTTCAAAGTAGTCCCATGCCTCCTGGAGTACAGAAGCATCCCAGTCTGTTAACCCAGTTGGCAAGGAAATATTAATCAGGCTATGCAAGCATTTGCTGAGAATTGAAACAGAGCAAAAAGAGGAAACATTAAATACCACATGCAAAACCAGCTACTTTTCAGTGTCAGCAGCACACTGACTTATGTCTCTGATCATCAGACAGATATGTCCACCTTGGTGCTTACTACACTCACATTCTTACAGCCAGAAACATACATTTTCCTAGTATCAGATCTCATCCATCCAAACTATGCAGAAAGAGACTCAAGAGCATTAAGTATTTCATTATTCTCATTGCTGGGCTCTAAAGTAACACAGAAAGACAGGCATACTTTCTATGGTGCTACACGTGACAGAGAGGAAAGTACCTTTTCTAACTTTACCAAGTGGTAGGCATATCCTCAGAAAATCTATAACAAATACATGGTTTCTGGAAACAGTCTTTCTAAGAAAGTGTGAAATGAGAAAGGCAGTATTAAGTTGCCTTTGCCTAGTGGTTACTGCAAGAAATGCTAACAGGAGGAAAAAAATCCTTTATGAGATACAAAGAAGAGAGAAGGACATACACCAGGTTATTTCTCAGACCCCATAAGGTACAGCTGCTAGACAGCTAGTCACCCAGCAAAATAAACCACCTATGTGCTATGGCATCAGATCACCTAGGACTCACAGTTTTCTTCCCAGCCCTTAATTTCTCTTCACTTCATTGTCTTTGAAAGACCTAGTTCACTACTGCAGGGTAATATTTGAAATTAACACCTTCCTCACAAAAAACACCCAGAGACCTCTTCTGGATCAAATTTTCGTTTTCCTTCCTCAATCAATTAATTTTTTGGAAATACAACTGTTTCAGAAAATATGCCAAGTGAGCAAATGGCAGTTAACACATCTATTAGACAGTCATAGGTGAGAGGTACATTGTCTGGTCAACAAAAAGTGGAACTTTGCACATAAACTAAAATCTACTTTTTTTCCAACTTGCAGGCTTTCTTCCCTGCCAGCATTTCCAGTGACAGGCTCATGACAAAGCTATGTGATAACACTAACCTAAATTTCACAGCATCGATGACAATCTGCTGTCTGTGAAGGTTTAGTGCACTCTTGAGAGCTTTCTTACACAGTATGGGATACCGAGCTGGAGATTCCATTGCTAATGCTTAAAAGCAAGAGAAAATAGTAATAAAGAAAGAAATTACTGGAGCCAGACCTCAATCTCATTGATCTCTACAATAAACTACAACATGTTGCCAGATCCCTGTAAGAAACAACTGAAAAGAACTTTGCCTGATGCCTGGGATGGTCACAAGCTACTGCTTCTGCACAATTTTCTTACTGTGTACATCATCAATGAGGCTACAAGGCAGAAGCATAGTGGAAAAATCTACATAATTTACAAGAACTCTCACTGCTGTTTATTTCCAGTGCAATAACCCAGAAATACTGGGGAGGTATCTACAGTAAAGAGTATTGGGGTTTTTTTGTCTCTTTGAACATGAAAATCTGGATGGAAAAACTAGACAGGAGTGGGATGTCACTATGGTCTTTCCAAGCCCAGGTGTGTACTCCCTCCAGAAAAAGGAGATAAGTAGGTGTTTATACAGTCCTTCACAATCCCCTCCAAAGATGTGCCATGGTAGCTCCAAATTTTACTCATCTTCCTTGGATCCTACTCCAGATTCTCAAGGAGGCATGACTAGAACTTTGTGATTAAATTATAGTACAGTACAGAGAGTGCTATTTACAAATTAACTACAATAACTTTAAGTTGAAACTGCATATCTATCCAAAGTCCACACCCTAAAACTTCTGCATTAGGGCACAAATCAGCTGGCCTAATTAGGGCACAACTTTCTGGCCTTTGCCATTTTGGAACTTGTAACAGTTTATCAGAATAACCTTTTCCAGACTCACAACCTATAAAAATATCTCAGAGTCTAGAAATGGAAGGATGCTGCAAATTTCTGGTACATCATCCATCTAATACAGTATTTCAAAATACAGATCTCCTAGCGTTGCTGAGATCCTAAGCACCTTTACTTCTGGACAAAATAGATATGGTTAGATCATTTATCATAATACATCATAATCATGGTCACTCCCAGTGAGCAGGAAAGAGCAACAAAAGCCATTTCTTATGACTTGAAGAACTATGAAAGTACAAATGCAGTCCTTACATGCAATGATTTCTAGCGTCTTGACCTCTATTTGTGGTTGCTCCCATACTGACTCCATGAGGTCATGAAGTGTTGGATCATTCAATTTGGATCTTGCTTCAAATTCATAAAGTAGCAACAAGGTGTCTGTTGGGTCTTTAGCAAAATCTCCTACAGAAGATACAGAATTGACTGTATGTAATGATTCATCTTCTTAAGGTCACATGCTGTACCATGAGGTATATTTTGCTTCCAACAAGTAGGAAAGCCATTAAGGTACTCAGAGTGGAGCAAGTGGAGCAGAGTGGAGCAAGTGGACCAAGCCTAAGACTTACATGTGCTGAACAGGAACACTCTGTGGCTTACCTGTGAATTTCAGAACGTCCCATATCTCCTTGCATGCCTGGAGATGTTGAAGGGCCCGAGTCAAAAGCTCTGTCTGTTTTTACAAATTTTAAGAAGCTATTTTTGTCACAGTTTTAAAAGCAAAAGGAATATACATATCATAGCTAACAAGATCTTTATACATAATTATAAAATAAATTAAGAATGTCTAATTATTACATCATCTACACCAGTTACATTTGTTCTGGGTTTTTTCTCTCTCTCTTTTCAAAGACCTCCACATCTCAGACAAAGCCTCTTGACACTGAACATTCCACTGGTCCAGAAAGAACCATATAGTTCCTATGGGACATCATTTATTTTAGCTCCCAAGCTTAACGTATTGCTGTTGACATTTTCAAACCACTAAATCCCACAACACAAACTGCTGTGCATTGCTCCCCACAAAATTGTTTCTACAACTATCACTGTACAGTAGACTTCTGTACTTCCTTCATAATGACTGTACAGTCTCCTTAGTATTCTTACCACAGCAAGTACAACACCCCAAAAAAGGATGTATGTATTTAAAAAAAAAAAAAATCACCAAAAAAGTGAACTTTATCACAACAATACTAGTAATTATTTTCAGCAACAGCATAATCCTGAAGATGCAGTAATTATCTGCCTGACTAACCAATGTTTAGCAGCAAACTCCTTACATTATATATAGGGTAGACTGAAATTCCTCTAAGAGAAGGTAGAGCCATGAACTTCTGGTGATACAAATCTGTTCAAATACACTGAAGTCAACAGAACTAGTTTATAAAAATAAACTATTTACAATTGTCTGCATAGCACTAGATGCATTGTTTCTAATTAACTATGAAAGATTCCCATCTTTACATTCTCAATATCCTATTCTGAGTGAAAAAACTAAGACTTCAAAATCAAAAGAAAAAAGATGCTAGACTGACACACACAGAATCTGTTAACAGAGCAACGTCCTACCTGTTCAGAGGGTGTTGCTTGTCTTCCCATTTCCAGATCAACTGCAGCTGCCATTAAAAGGCTTGTCTTCTGAGCAATTAGAACAGCTTTGTCAGAAGGACAAAACTGGGAGAACTGACAGCAAAATCAAGAAAAGGTAATGAAAATTCTGCCCCTATAAAGATTTGTTTATGAACAGAGGCTTTCTGAGTCTCCTCTATGACACTTCTAGTAACCTGTCACAAATAGTACACATTCATATATTCATTGCAGTTTTACTTGTACAGTTACACAAGAAGATTGTTTGAAGTGTTGGAGTCCCCTCTCTACAAACACATATAAAACTGACAGTGTTGGTAGAACTTCTATATGGAGACCAGGACTTGAGTACTTAACATGTTTGTTTTAATTATAAGTTCCCAAACATCAAAATCCATTTATTTTAGAAAGTACTCAGTGAAGTCTAAGTTTCTTATGACACATTTAAGCAACAGAATGTAAAGTATAACAATAATGCTTACATTTTGTATTACAAGCCAATCTCCTTCTGACAAAAGTGCTCCACCTTCAGAGCATACAAGCATGTCTCCAAGGAGATACCTGATACATGGATGTAACTTCTAACAGAACTACACAGATAACAATATTCCTTAATCAGAGATACTATTACCAGGTGTACGTACCTTGAAAGACAATAGAAAAAAATCCCTCATCTTTTCAGGGCAGCCCCTGAACTGTACAGCTAAGTTCCAAGCTAACAAAGACATAAAAAATGGTGATTAGACTAAAAATATTCAGTGTTATGGGTATACTCATCTAATGTATAGTAATAGGCAGTTCACATTCTACAATTCAATTTCTTACTCAAAATATCAACAGCTCATTTAACAACAGCAGGAAATACCACTATCAGTGATTTGTTAAAATAGCTTATCCATGTTTTCAAGTTTTGTCTTAGTAATTTAATCATAACCAAGTATGCATTCTACCACATACCCTACCAACAAGAGCATGAATTGGAAGAAGCATCTTCCTATGTTAATAAAACCAGTATCTGAATAAAGTATTGAACAATATTCCCAAGACATATTAAAAAAAGGGGAAAAAATCCCACAACATTGTGAAACATTCTCCATTCTACCCCAACAGGGTCAAGAACATGGCATGATGTGGTCTCACCAATGCAGAATAGAGGGGGAGGAGAACCTCTCTTGACCGACTAACCACACCCTTTCTAATGCACCCCAGGATGCCATTGGCCTTCTTGGCCACCAGGGCACATTGCTGGCTCATGGTCATCCTGCTGTCTACCAGGACCCCCAGGTCCCTTTCCCCTACACTGCTCTCCAGCAGGTCAGCCCCCAACCTGTACTGGTGCATGCAAATAAAATATTTTGTCTCCTCTATGCTCTGTTAGAAGCAAGAATCTTAAAAAAATGCTTCAGCCTCTTACCCCATGCTTACAATTTTTATTTACAGGCAGCAAACACACTGACTCTTTTACCAAAGCAGTGTAACAAAACTACTAAATAAGGACACAGAGACACACTAAGGATGGTGCCTAGGCCAGCTCCATGGGAGCTGCATCTCACACAGAAACACTACCTATGATAATGTTTGGCATTTATATTTCATACAGTGTAGTTCAAGGCAAAATCCAGGACTGTCAATTTAAAGAACTAATGCAGACAATCTAATCTGGCTGACAGAGGTAAGCTCATCCTGCACCAAAGACACCAGCACACTCATCTAAACTTCACAATTCTTATTTTGCCTACATGTGAACATGCATACTTAGGATCAGCAGCAAGGTGTTTTTATTGCTTAGCAGAATTTTTTTTCAGACATTGAAGAAAACCATTTTTTTTTCCTTTTTGCCTGATCTTAAATTTTATTTCTGTAATAGAGTCTTGGTAGTGAAGGGCTAACTAAGAGAAAAATGGTGACTCTGAAGAGTTGGACCATGGAGATACACAACAATTCCTGTAGTGAAGGGAATAATCTATCAGCTATCCCATCAGTCAAATAGACCTTGCATAAGTACTTGTTTGAGAACTGTCTTAACACATGAGCCACATGAGATAGTTTCAGAAGATACTAAATGCAGCAGCAGAACTTTAAAGTCTAGTTAAGGCAGCCAATGCCAAAGCTGACAATTTTTATAAATCTACTACAACTTTAAACACTTTTTCTTCCTGAAGAAAAGACGAAACTCTGGCTAAGTGGAGGTGGAGAGGATCCAGTTTGGATTTTGAGAGTGCAACCTACCAATTTTTCTAAACCAGTGAGCTTCAAGGGTCTTCATGTCCTCTGTAAATTTCTCTTCTGTGAAAGACTCAGCAATTCTTTTGTGAGCTGCAGAAAATGTGTTGTTCAATACATGAATAGCAATTCTGGAGCAGAATAAAACCAGTGCCAAGTCTGGTAACTACACTACAAAATAGAGTCTTCCAAAACTCTCATATAATTCTTTATTAAAAGTTCTTCTCACAACTTAAATCTAATATGCTTAACTAGTGGGGCTTATGAAGAACATCAAAAGGTGCCTCAAACAGCATTTTAGATAAGCTATGTAAGGCTGCCAACAAGCACTGCCTCTTCAAAGTTTACTGACACTGAAGCCATGGGGAGAGGAGTTTTACTTAATTTCACAAAAAGTTGAAGGTTTTTAAATTTAATAACAGTTTTGAAGCCTAGCTTCAAGGAACTTTAATTCTAGTCTTCATTCTTTTCTACTAGTTGCAGTAAGAATGGCTAGCGTGGAAAAAGCTCTACAATCTCATTAACTTTCTTGTCCAAGATAAGAAGAGAGGTGTAAATAAGATTTAGTGAAAATAAGTATTTCTTCTGATGGAGAAATGTCATCTCCTGTACCTTTTCTAAAGCAAACAAGACAGTTCTTTTTCAAAGGACAACACAATTTAAAAGTTAGAACAAATTTTGACAAGCCTCTCCTGTCTTTCAGCAATTTGCTATTACTCCTTGCAGCTTTCTAAGCCTTCCAGGGAAAAAAAAAAAAAAACCAAACCAACAGCATTAACTTAATTTTTGAAAATGCTCCCTTTTAAACAGCTAGAACAGCAAAGACCACGATTGGCATTTAATTAATGCTAATAGAAACTTACACTGTTAATTCAGTTTACAAAAGAGTCACTGACACTTGGTCAGTATGGGCATAATCATACCATAAAAATGTTCTCAGATGGAAGAACTACAAAAAATGTAAAAAAAACAAAAGCATACCAAAGGTCAAGTAAGTCAGCATAGAGTTGATATCTTCATCTCTAGAATGGAGCAAAAATTGTTTTAGAAATATTTGATTTACTTTCTTACAACACAACACATTATTTATACTGGAATACAGCATCTCCATAATTATGGTTATAATCATTCTTGCCCTGACAAACATCTCATGAGAAACATTAGAAAATTCCAACGTTTGAAGATGCAGGAGTACTGAAGGTCTGCAAAAAGTTTTATTGATCTGTGTTATGTGAAAGTCATTGTAGAAGGGCAGCAGATTTTCTCAGTTGTTGGGCTGCAGGTTAAACTTCCAACTCCACTGCCACTATGCTGTTTTCTTGACTGTCAAACTCCACCACTATAGTTCTCCTACTTCTAAGCCAACACAGCATTTGCAAAGTGGCTAGCAAGGGAGGTCCCACTCTGAAATTATCACTCAGAACTGAAAGATATCACAACCTAGTGCCAAAGTTAAAGAGGTTGTTTAGCTCACATTCCCTATCAAAAATACCTGGCAGTTTAAGACATTAATACAAGAGGAAAGCAAAAAGCAGATATTTGAATGAAAGGTTATACAAGTTGAAAAGATGTCACTACTAGTTCACTACACGATGTCATTAGTTCAAGTTGGGAAGCCATCTGAGTGGACTTTTTACTAGCATAGGTACTAACGTCCTGATTACTCTGCAAGGAAATAAGCCCAGCAAGAAAATATTACAACATTTCCAAAACATATACACCATAAGGAAATGGTTTTGCAAATGGACTCACCTGTTCTCTCCGTTTTCTGCCATGACCTTTGACAGCATAAGACGAATCAAACATCTACAGATGAGAAAAATAAAAAATGAAGAAACAAGAATTTTTTTTTTCCAGCAGTGTACTTTGTCCTAATTTTCAAGAAAGGTTCCCACTTTTCTTCTTCATGCTATCAGCTCATGGAACTCAAAGAATTCAAAGTGTCAAACTGAGAATAAGATTATACTATTTCCCATCCTATTGCCCTATTTTGTATATCACTTTGTTAAATCATGCAATAGCAAATAAATAAATATACTTTAACAAAGGCTTTAAGCAAATATTGGAATAAACACATCTGCCTATAAAAAACAGTATTTGTTTTTATAAACATGATGCAATACTTCAGCAAGAAGGATACCACTTCATCAGAGGATATAAACAAACTGGTATTTTCACAAATACCAGTTTTAATGAGATTGTTGCAATTTCATTTAAGTCACTGTTGCTCATCTGTTCAAATCACAATGTGGTCATAAAATTCAGAGCAATTAATACTATTTGTTTGGGAGATACTTGGAACATCTGTAGATGTGAAGAGTTCAGACTCGAGGTACATCTGCAGCACCAAAGACTGCTAATTAATCTCTCATCTACTGTTCTACATTTTCCTCAATACAATAAATTATTCTTGAAAGACACCAGAAAATTTTCTCTTTCCTTGTTAAATATCTTGAATTCTTACTTTAAAGCTGCAAATAATTGCCGGCAGTCTTGTAAATGTTCAGACAAATATTCCAAAGCTTTGATAGCCACTACTTGTTGTTCATTCTGAAAAGAAATGAAAACATATTTTGTATAAACTGCAGAACCTCAGTTGCCATAAAAAAAGAAAAAAAGCAACGGCATATTCCAAAAGTCCATGCAGTCTACTAGCAGTAAAAGGAACAAAGGACTCTGCACAGAATCAGTTCAGAGTCAAGAGAAATCCATAAGGACAGATCATATGATTTCATGCACAAAGAGCCTATAGCAAGAGCAGGATCAGTACAGGTTGGCAAGGCTTTGGTGCCTCACAGTGCTATGAACAAGACCCTAAAAGGCAACAGAATGTCTCTTCTAATTATGCCAACCTAATTGGCCAGTTCAGACATCACTCAAGTCACCAACCAAGAGACAAATAGGAGGGACCAGTGACTTTCCAGTCTTTCATCGTCGACTTATGTGTATTTTGTACACTGGTTCCCCCTAGTATGTCAAAGATCAAATCTCAGAGGCAGAAAAAGACAATATTTTGCAAAGGAGAATTTTGCAGAAATACTCCATGTCATTCCCAGATACTGACATTTGTAATTCAGAATCCTTTATTTTCCTGAAGAAATATTAAAAATTATTATTTCTGCATATGTGAAATTAATTTCTGCTTTGCATTACACAGTACATTTGAGTGAGACCTTGGTCACGGAAGCATGAAATACTTAGAAATGCATTAAATACATAGAAATATTAAAAGCAGGTAAAGTTACAGAGACTACAGATGTCCTACTTATATCAACAAAGGAAATTAAGACAATGTTATCTGTTCTACCTCTAAAGCAATTTGGGCTGCTAAACTCAGGAGGTTAGTGCCTGTATTTTCATCCACTCTCAGCTTGTCTTCATGTTGAGATGGCTTTTCCACTAGCTTCCCCATTTCAATAACTGCTTTCACAGCTGAAATATACATAGGGAAAAATTTTTTTTTTTAGAGAAGCAATTGGAAGGTGGAAAGTTCTACTGTTTTAATGAGGCTTTAGAAATTACTTATGAAAGGCTGTATTTTATTTTTTTTTAATATGAAAAACCAAGACAAAAAAAAAAATTACCATACCAGCATTTCTCCACAATTATGCATTTCTTCCCAGAGAGATGCCAAAATGCTTTTTCAATCTAGGTAAACAAGGATGCCATACAAATGAAACTATCTCACATACTTAATTTTGTTCTGCTAAATAACTGTTGCCAAAGACAGAAGACTTTCTCTAATACATTGTCTGGGAGTGATTCCAAGCTCCCACATCTTGGCTTATGCTAAGGGTGCTGCTGCTTTTGTTCACACTGTGCTGTGGTTCCATTCTAACATTATGTGAACAAATTATGCTGTCATTAAAAAGATGTATAGAGAACAAGTAATTGACACAGAACTCACTGGAAAATAAGCTCTGTGTGTTATTCTGATCTCTAAGTACATATAGACTCTATTTCACAAGCTTCATTACTTGAACTAAGAATCTCATTAAAATATGAAATAGCAGAACTTATTATAAAAAGAAGTCTACGGAGATGTGTTATTCTCTATGTCATCTCAGTAATTCATGTGTTTTCTGGTAACTTCAAGCTGTATTTGTCCAGAGAAATTAAGAGCAACAATAACAGTTCCATTAAGGCTCCTTTAGCTCAGTATCCTTTTTTTCTTATTGTACATGTAGACAAAAGAATATTAGTAAGTATACAATGATTCTCACCCTGGGATGCTATTACAGCTTCTCACCATTCTAAGATTTGAGACTTCCTAGACAGAGGCTCCATCCGGACAATACCAGATACGGCAGAGGACCCCACATCTGAGAATTTGTTTGCAAGATACAACACTCTGACAGTTTAAATCTACAGCCTGACAGTTTCAACGACTTTATAGATCCTTCTAGCTACCCCCTATTGTGTCTTTCTCAAGGTGAACAGACCAAATCTGCTTAGTATTTTCTAATGTACTTGGCAGTCCTGCTCCTTGTAGCGAACCCTTTATCTTTCAAGTTCTACCTTTATCAGTATCTTTCTCCATCACTGCAATCTTATAGACACTGAATTTACTAAAGATGCTGTTTGGATCACACCTCTCTGCTTCTTTAACTGCCTCTTTAGCCTGTTCACAGGAGAGATTGAAGGAAATCAGTACAATGACATCTTGAAATCAGTAATAGAATTTGCAATAGAAGAGAGCTAAAAAGATAGACAAAATGTTAATGGTTACATTGTTGATATTTATACAACTACCCAAGAAGTTTGGGTTGGAACCATCGTCCCTGAAAAGTAAAGTGACAAGAGCAGAAGATGGCACCAATGGTTGACAATGATCAGACTGAAAAAAAGCCAGGGCCTCAAAATTAGAGCTACAAAATCAGAGGGCAAGACAAGCCCTGAAAATGTTGAAAAAATTAAACTCCCTTCTGTCACTATAAACTGTGAAGTTTAACACCTCCAAACCAGAAGGCCCAGACAGGCAAAGCAGATGCTCTCTGCAGGGGTGAGGGCTAACACACGCATGGGAAGTTCCAGTGAGACATGTCAAACATTCTTCCTGCCAGGGCTCACCAGTCTTGAAGACAGGAGGACTTCCAATCTGAGAAGCAGCCTGATATACTTAGGAATGGTCTCACAACTTGGGACTGCTTCTGCCATTAGAATGACAGGCGACACCAAGAGGACCCCATACCAGCTAAGATGATGAACATCTTTCTGCGGATGATGCAAAATAGGCAAAAGACAGTGCCCCCTCTCAAAGCCAAAAAGGTACAGTAACAAATATGCAAATTAAGTCCAAATAACATAGGTACAAAAATAAAAACAATGCAAATAAATATGTATATGTACATATTATATATACCCTGTCGAATTGTTTCAGATGAAGATAGCAAGAAGCCATGTTCCTCTGCAGCTTAGCCAAGTTCTGATCTATCTGCCCAGGTGTGTAGAAGCTGACAGAATAATTGTACCAGTGAAGAGCTTCAGAATAACTTTTTGCCTAGGGAATTTAAAATAAATAAATAAACAAACCACAAAACAAACCAAACACCTCCCCATTTAGGTGATTAAACTGCCTGTGTTTTCCCAAATTAAAAAAAAAAAAAAAAAGTCATATGAAATGATGAAGCCCATGAAGCTGGTGAAGGGTCTGGGGAATGTCTTACGAGGAGCAGCTGAGGAACTGGGACTGTTTAGTGTGGAGGAGGATGAGGGAAGACCTTAGTGCACTCTATAACTAGGATGTTGTAGTGAGGTGGGCATTGGTCTCTTCTCCCAAGTAACTAGTGTGAAGATGGGAGGAAATGGAGTTAAGTTGCACAAAGGGAGGTTTAGGTTGCATATTAGGAAAAACTTCTTTACTGGAAGAGTGGTGAGTCATTGGAACAGGCTGCCCAGAGTGACTCCACCACCTATGACGCTGTTCAAAAGATGTGTGGTCATGGTACTTCAGGACATGGTTTAGTGGTCCCTGGTAGTGTTGGGTTGATGGTTGGACTTCATGATCTTAGAGGTCTTTTTCCAAACTCAATGATTTTATGAAATGAAAGATTTGGATAATCAAGTATATTCTAGTGTAACCTTTCCCCAAGAAGGGGGAGGAGGATTATATCCATTAGGAGAAATGACATTTTACCTATTCCTATCCTTATTCTTACAGCCATTATCAAAGACAGAATACTGGACTAGACAGGTTATCCATGTGACCCAGAAAGGGCAATCTTATGACTAAACACAAAACAGAAATATTATTTCAAAAAACCTATCTCTTCATGATACAAAGCAACTGAAACTTAAGAGAAAAAATATACATTTATCCCATTTAGACTGTGAACTTTGATGATACTATGCTGAAGATGGTATACCCAACTACTATAGTACCAATTTGGACAGAAAATTTTAAAACAAGAAGAAAGGAAGCAGTGTCATTAGTAAGCGTTGACTACACAGATGAGAGGTAATAAAACAGCACATGTTTTTCTTTATATATTCAAGAAACAAGTAAAGTCTGCTGGAGAAGCTGGCGGCTCATGG